TCTTGCTCCCACTTCTCCATTGGCCTCCCTGGGACGTCCCTCCTCCGCACGCGCACCTGGCCCCATGGTTCTCTGTGGCCGAGCAGCCTCCTTCCTGGGACTCAGCTCAGCTCGTGGTTACACCCCCATGGCCAGGTTACACAGCAGGGCTGGGGTGCTCGGTGTCTCCATGCCTCCCCCTGCACCGAGCTCCCTGCCCGCGAGGGGCCCCCGCCTCCCCCGCCCGGCTCCTCGACCCTTTTCTCAGTCAGGAGCCCCCCCTCCCCCCCCCCCCCCAGCCTCTCCTCACCTCGCTCGCATTTTTGGTCAGATGTTTCCGGAGCCCTGCTGTGTGCTGAGAACGCACTTGGCGGCACGTGGCCCCTGCCCTCAGGGTCTGCACAGCAATGAGCAAGTGCCTTACCTCTGGGTCTTTCCTCTTTTCCATCGGTTCCTGTTTCTGCTGTTCCTCGCAAACTCCTATGCATCCTCAAGACCCCGCCCACCCAAGCCCGGCTGCCCCTTAGTCCAGGCAGAGGCACACCCAGCTCCTCTCTTGGGCTGCTGCGCTGATGACCCAGGACCTTCCCTGCCACACAGGGAGCCCGACCCAGACCCAGATCTTGGCTCCTGCTTCTCCTCCCCTGGGATGTTCTTTCCTCTTCTGTGTTCACTGGAGTTCGTGAATCTTCTAGTTCAATCTGGAGACGTCTTCAAAGGGCTGACTCGAGTCGTGCCACCAGGGCTCAGGCAGCAACAAGAGCAAACTCTGGGGCTTCTGGGCACACCCGGGGTGCTGCTGGGGTGAGCGGGTGCGGGACGTGGGGGACCTTCTCCCAGAGTTCTTGCATTTCTCTTCAGGAGCCTGGAGGGCCCACAGCAGGGTCTCGTGAGATGCTCCTCCCTGGCCCGTGTGGGAAGGCAGCAGACGGTCAGACACCCCCCAGGCTTGGGCCTGAGAGCCGAGGCCTTGTACTGATCACTGTGTCCATGTCCTCGAAGGACACAGAGCTCACAGACCAAAGGGAGCAGTCCTCCTGATGTGGCCTCGCACAGCCCGTTGTGGGGTCAGGAGGAGGCTCTGTGGATGTGGTCCCTCTTTCTACACTCCCCCCCCCAAACCCCGCTAATCTGCTCTCTCTGGGCCACTGCGGCCACTGCCCTGGGCAGACCCCATCCCTGCCCCCTCCTGCCCGCACCTGCACCACGAAGAACCCCCCCGCCCAGCTCTCCACCCCCAGCTCTGATGCAGGGAGTGCACCTGGCAGGAAGCGCTTGAAGGTGTGAGAGACAGGTGCCCACCAGGACCTGCCCCCTGACAGAGGGTCCCCTAAACAGCTCGTGGGCCCTGCCATCCCGGATGATGGTGCCTCTGACGCTCAGTGTCTTAGCGTGGGCTGTTCCCTCCTCACACCCACCGTTACATCTGTCCGAGTGCCCTCAGGTCCCACAGGATAGTGTCTCCTTCCACTGCCCCCGGCCCCTTCGTAAGTGGGATGTGACGGGGAACAGGCAGCTGAGAATCGGCTGGCTTGGCCTGCCCTTCCTGACAGGGACTCTCCACACCCCCAGGGGAGGTCACAGAGTCCGGCCCCAGGGCCCCTTGGGGTGGGGTAGGGGCCGACAGGCAGTCCCCAGCCTCCCCATGACGCGCCAGGGGTCATAGCTGGCTTTTCTTTAGGCCAGGGACCCGCGGAGGCGGTTTGGGGAGGGAAGAAGTGAGGTCACCTTCTTGCAAGCTGGTTCCCCAAATATGTTGTCTGGGCGGGGTCCGGCTCCAGCCTCAGAAGTTCAGGTACAAAGGTGTCTTTAAGGTGCCTGCCGCACTCAGGCTCCTGGAGCAGGATGTCTGGGCACCGTGGGTGGATGCCCGCGTCCGGACAGAGTCTCTGCTTTGGGCCAGGCAGTGCCTTGTAGGGGTCCCTCTGTCAGGCCCTTCGGGTCCCCAGCTGGGCGGGCGCCGTTCTGTGATGTGGGACCCACTGGGCAGCACAGCAGTGTGGTTGAAAGCCACATGTGAGGGAATCAAAAGGGCTCAGTCAGGAATCTGGGATGTCAGCTGGCCGGGGTGCGGTATGGGGCACGGGGTATCGTGATTACGGCCACCACGCTCCCGGCGTGGAATCACACAGATTCTCTGGGGCCCTGGCACCACGCTGAACGTGCCCATTTCTGTGAGCCGCCCTCCAGGGCACAGGGGAGCGGCCTGGCCTGGCTGACCCGGCCCCGGGGTCGCCGAGCCTGGCTGTGCGGCCTCATGAGGGGAGGGGGGCCCACTAAGTCCGGAAGCCCCGAGGGCGACCCCCGCCCCTCCGGGCCCTCTTCCTGGCTGGGCTCGGCACCCTGAACACCTTCCCGTTCTGCGGCGTGGATGCTGCCCTGGGCCCAGCGGCGCCCTGGGGGGATGGCCAGGTGGCCAGTGCCCAAAACACCAGGTTCGGCTTCAATTATGGTTTTCGAGAGACACCACAGCATGTGTTGCCAAGAGCTGTAATCCGTTTTTCTAAGTTTAAAAATATCTCCCAATTTGTTTTATTCGTGGAACATAGCATTTCTACTTAAAAGGATACTCCACTGCCGATTTTAGGGCTCAGGAACGTAGTTCTGTCTGAGGCCTGGCTCCTCCCTAATCCTGGGAGGCTTTCGTTATTTTCGGACCCTCTTTGTGCCGGGACCGCCCCCACCCCCACCCCCACCCCCAGGCTCCTGCCCCGCCCGGTGGTTCCCTCCGGTTCCCAGCCTCCAGGGGAGGCCTCTGAGCTGCGTCCCGTTCCCCCCCCCCCACAGGGCACCCCAGGGCATGGTCACTTGTTAATTCAGCGTTTGCCTGGTGCTCTGCTTTTTTAAAGTTGGTAAAATACACACAACGTGAAATTTGCCATCTTAACCAGTTTCCGGACCGACCCCCACCTGCTCCTCCAGCCCCGGCCCCACCGTCTCCTCTGTGTCCGTGAGACTGACGACCCCGGGACCTCGAGGGAGTGGGTCCCGGTGCGCGTCCTCCCGTGTCCGTGAGTC